TGCCTATGGTTCCTGTATGCTACCAACCCTCTTACCTGCAGTAAGATGGACCAGTTCCCTAGCCATGTATAGCACTGAAAAGCCAGGCAGTTGCCATGCCAGGGCAGAAGACCAAGGACAGGGGACTCAAACTCCATGAAGAGTTCTCTTCCCGGCATGTTGGCAACGCTCTCTTCCCCCACCTAATATATCACCTAGTCGAAAGTACAGCCATAATACAATCAAGGAATAGCAAGAACAATGGCTCTGGCCGCATGAGTCATAATCCCATCAGATGCCACTCTCCAGACAAGTTTTTCATTAGGTCGCATTGTCCACCCTCTTACACCTTTGACCCCAGTGCCAATCAGCATGGTTTCAGGGACGAACCAGCAGGAGGTGTGCCAAGAGAGGTGGCCAAGCCTAGCCCACCCCTCAAGCCCCCTTTTTAAAAGAGGGCACCCAGTGCTAGTTCTCTCTCTCTCTCTTGACCCCCTCCTACCCAAATCCTAAACTCCCGACTCTTGGTTTGCACAGCCAAAGTCTCCTTGTGCCTCTGCCGGTTCAGGACATGATCCCCCCCCCAACACCCCATAGTCCCCCTCATTTTTCCTGAGGCTCACTCCATCTCACCACGGACAGGTAAAGTATTGTCCCTCAATGAAACATCCGACTAATGCGAATGTGCTATCCTCCTCTATTTCCTAGATGCTGTATAATTGCACATGTGCTTGTGTTGTTGCATGCTTGAAATACCTTCAATAAACAAAACCATCTTATACTGACGTCAGTCTCAGCGTCTATTTTTGGTGTGTCTGGAAGAAGCAGGACCCCTGTGCACACAGGTGATTGCTCCCTTATTTGGCCATTGCCTCTCTGAATATCCTAATTCTCCTAAGATCGCTATTAGCATGAGGCAAATCGGCTAACAACCTGTTAGAAATGAAGTATCAGATTCATTTATTTATGTATTTATTAAATTTCTACCCCACCCTTTGGGGCATTGAGGAGCCTGAATAGGACAATTTAGACTGGGATCATTGACACTTGGGATTTAAGCAGTGTTGCCTGAAAAAAGATTAATGAATGTCTCCCATTTCTGGTCTCAGGAAACAAAAGTTCATTCATTCATATTTATAGCCTACCCACCCCACAAGCGGGATCAGGGCGGGTAATAGCAAACAGTAAATTTTAACAATCAGGTAGTATTTCTTCATCAGTGGCTCAAAGTACTTTTTTCAACCTCTACCTTGGAGGGTTGCTAATCTCTAGGTGCAATTTGGAGATGTCCTGGCGTTTATCTCCAGACAACAGAACACATAAAGCTGCCTTATACTGAATCAGGCCCTCAGTCCATCAAAATCAGTATTGTCCACTAAGGCTGGCAGTAGCTCACCAGGTCATTATGTTAAGGTCTTTCACACACTTTCACATCACCTACTTCCAGATCTTGTAATTGGAGATGCAGGGGATTGAACTTGGGACCTTTGGCATGCCAAAATGATGTTCTACCACTCAGCCAACACCTTTTCTGGCCTGAATGGGAGTCTTCTCCAATCTACCCACTCCTCCTGCCAACCTCCCCAATTCTCTATCTGTGTTCAACTCTTCTAAGTCAGGGCTAAACACAAACCCTGCCACCACTAAACCCTACTCTGTCAGGGCCATCCTGCAAATGGGTAAGATTGGCAGCTGCCCATTCACATACATTCTCAGTGGAATGAGCCTGCTTGGGATGTCAGGAACACTCCTACACTACTGACATTCCACAGAATTTGCAGAACCATAACATTCAAGAGGGCAGTCTTAAAAAAGAAATTAGAACTGTAGTAGAATGGAGCAGCCAAGTAGAGCCTCTCTACAACGCATGAGTCCAATGTAATGATTACCATAGGTATCATATCACCAGTTTTACTGCATTTTCTTTGCCTTGCCATCCGCTTTATTAGTCCTATTGCATTTCCTTTGGTGGTTTCAACTATCAGATTGTTCTGTTTGTATCCAGTAACCTCTCTTGAGTCCCAAGCAGGAAAGGCAGATTATAAAGTAAATAAAAGTAAAATAAATGAAATGTGTCTTGCTGAGAAATACTGACCCCCATCCCCTTGATAACACTAGGTCTGGGCCAATCAATATGAGACTCGTTATTTTCCACCACGATATCCACTTAGAGCTCAAACTCTTCAGATGTAATTATCTCCCTCTGCAATTATCCACACCACTGCAATTTCCTCTTGTAAGCTAGGTAGAGTCAGTGTTAATGAGCAAGTCTGAAAGATGTGATAAATGCCCTTATTTCTGCGTTGTTCAAAATGAGCACAAGAGTGAGGCAAAAGGAGCTGCCAATTCTGCCTTTCATTCTTGGTTTGAATCTATCAGTCTTGCGATTGATACATGTGCAACTTCAGCTCTCTTTCAAAGCATGTGGGTTCACTACTATCCTGCTGGTGGAAAACAGGCTGGTGTATTTCTCTTTAAGGGATGTATTGGTTTGGGCAGCCAACATCCATGGCAAAATGGGCAGACGAGCATCTGTGTCTAGAGAGGTCTGCTGGTAGGATGGAGAAGCTGGTGATCTTGCTCGTTCTTTTCCCTCCCATGGCATGTAGAGTCCATACTTGGAAGTGTCTTCTGAGTGACCCTCTCCCTGTTCCGCATGACTTCCATCAGTCTGGGGATGTCCTTGTTGGTGGGATTGTTTCTCAGATTGTTTACCCTCTTCACACATTTCTTTTCCAAGAGAATCCCTCAGATGGCTTGTTTGACTTTCCGGAGTAAGGTTTCCCATGCCTCTCTTGAATCGTATGAACTTGACCAGATCACAAACCATAGCAGTGTTTCTTGACAGTTATAGGATGGTCAAAGTGTTAGCTGTGTTTATAGCGTCTCCTCCCAGAATTGCATTTTTTTCTCCCAAAATGAGCACTTGTAGTACTTTGAAGGCTGGGATGAACTCTAACCTGGGAGAACCGGGTTTGATACTCCACTCCTCCACTTGTATGTGCTGGATGACCTTGGGCAAGCCATAGTTCTGGCACAGCTGTTCTTGGAAAAGAGTGGTTTCTGTCAGAGCTCTCTCAGCCCCACCTAACTTAGAGGGTGTCTGTTGTGTGGAGGGGGAGGGAAAGGAGGTTGTAAGCCGCTCTGAGACTCCTTTGGGTACTTTGGGTACTCCTTTGGGTACTTTGGGTATCCAATCTCTTTATTCTCTCTCTCTGTCTCTCTCTCTCTGTGGGAGAGAGAGAGAGAGAGAGAGAGAGAGAGAGAGAGAGATTTCAATGAGCTTAGACTCAGGTAATTACAATATTTTACTGCCCATGTGTTTATTGCACCAGATTTGGAATCAATTACATGCATGCAAGTATGATAGAATGCAAACTCAGAATGTAAAAGACTGTATAAAATAAAGGGAATGGGAAACTCTTTCAAAATGCAAAATATATTAAACATTGCAAAACTTAATAGTATGGGGAAATCTGTGAAAAAGGCACACATTTAAAAAGAAATGTATTGCTCATTTAACTTGAAACGAATTCTTTATCACATTCTTGTTTTTAGCTGATATCCATACTTTCATCAATAAAAAATGTTATTGTATAATGCTAGAGTCTTCAACAGTTTATAAAATTTGGCATGGGGTGAAGAGATGAGATTTTTCTCCCCTCTTTTCCCCATAATTTATTACAGTAACATAGGATCTGCAAGACAGAGCTCTTCCACCAGGCATTCAAGTGAGAGCCACATATAACATCTTAATTTAAAACCAGAGCCTTACCCTGGAATTTCTACCATCGGCTATTACCATTACTAACTAACACCTGTTATGGATAATACTTGGAAATTGTTGTCTCACTGTCTGATATGCAGTATCTATGCATAGCACTTTAGAATTGTTTGTATGGTTTTATTTGGTTTTTAAAAAACTTCTATATAAGCCGCCTGAGCCTGCCTTGGTGGGAAGGGCAAGTTTTAGATCTAATAAATAAATAAATAATACTCCAACTTAAGAGTGTCCAATGAAATTGATGAGCAATACATTAAGGTTGCAAAAAGGAAGGAGAATTCCACTAAGCAAGTGATTAACTGGTGAGATTCAATGCTAGTGGACATAGTGATGGTCACGAGAACAGATAGCTTCAAAAGGTTTGAGCATATATGTGGAGGATAGGCCTGTGAGTGGCTTGGGAAGTGAGAGTTGATGATAGCCATCATGAACATTATTACAGCAAATCTAGCACTTACTATGGTAGCATGGAATTGTAATCTGGTTTTACACAGTTTTAATTGATTCATTGTATTATTTTAAATACTCTACTGATTTTATGTACGCCGCCCTGAGCCGGCCATGGCTGGGAGGGCAGGGTATAAATTTGAATGAATGAATGAATAAATAAATACATACATACTAGCCATGGTGACTAATGATAACTTCCACATGCAAAGGTAGTATCACTTGGAATACTAGTGTTAGGATTCAAGATCAGCAGAAAACCTTGGTCTCTGTGTTCTGTTTTAGCCTCTCTAGGGCAACTGGATAGCAGGTGTATAAGACAGGATGTGTCTAATCCAGAAGGGCTCTTCTTATGTCCTTCTGTGTTAGATTCTGAGGCCCATGGAAGCATAACCTCTGAGAAGGAAATGTCTGCATCTTGTCCATTGCACATGCATGAACCCTAAGTCATCAGGCACAGCACATTGTGCTGTAGCTGCTTAGATACATTTAAACCCCTTGATGACATATTGTAGGATATTGTGTTACACAATATTGATCTTCTTGTGTATACAAAATGTTATTTGGGTTGAAGAACAATATGTTTATTAGCTTAGAAAAGAACAATAGCAATAGCAATAACCTGACACAGAGTTAATAAAACCACAGGCAGAGTTGTTGCAAACCATTGTAGAACTCTACCATTAAAGATGGTACCGCCCTGAGCCTGCTTTGCGGGGAGGGCGGGGTAAAAGTCTGACAATGAATGAATAAATAAATAAATAAATGAGTATGAAATTCTGTTCACAGCATGCTGACAAAGTTCTACCAGCATGTCCTGGCTTTGGTGTTTGCTATAGATGAGATCAACCAGAACCCCAAGATCCTGCCCAATGTCACTCTTGGGTTCCACATCTGTGACAGCTACTACAGTGTCCAAATGACCTATCGTACATTGTTGGATCTCCTGTTTAAGTCACACAGATATTTTCCCAACTATGAATGTGGTATTCAGAAGAATGTAATGGCAGTCATTGGGGGACTTAGTTCTGACATCTCCTTCCATATAGCAGACATCTTAGGTCTTTACAAGATACCACAGGTAAGATTTATGGATATAGTTTTTTTTTAAATTACACTTTCATGTCTGGCAGGGTTTTTTTTTAGGTTCAGAAGGAGAGAAAGGCATGTAGCCAGGAAATAAAATGTGATATGTATTTATATGCAAAAAAGTAAAAAAAAGATATGGAATGGTTGGCTCAGTGGGTCAGGGGGAATAGCAAATACTGGGTCTTTTGTAAGGTCTTGTTAGAAATGTGCTGATGAATATTTGCCATAAATTGCACTGTATTACCACCCATTGAGAAAATTCAGTGCGGGTGTGGATACTTGGTTACGCACTTTGATTTGTAGCATATTAATATGTTTCATTCCATCAAAAATTCAGCAACATATGTCCTTGTGTTTGAACCACTTGTGTCTCAGGCAAAGAGGGAATGCGAGTTCTCAAACAGGCCCCACAATCTGCTGCCATTCCCTCATTATAAAAAGTCATGAAACATTAACATTGCAGCATTAGTAACTATGTGAGGTATCTCCTGATACACTTTATTGTGCCTGGCTTGGGGTTTGTTGACCTGTGCTTGATGTGATCTGTCCTGAGCCCATTCGGGGAGGGCGGAATAAAAATCCATCCTCCTCCTCCTCTTCATCATCATCATCATCCTCATCCTCATCCTCCTCATCATCTAAATGTATTGCTTTCAGGGGGAGATAAGCTACTCACAAATTCATCTTCAGACATTGCTACATGGGAATTGTTGGGAAAAGAGAACCTATAGACCAAAAAAAGGGGGAATACAAACCCAATTAAAAAAAACTGCATTCACCACCATGAAGGTTGAACAGGAAAAATGTTAAAAATGGATTAAACAAAATATATCGATTTATTGTACAGTGTACTTAAAATACAAATTAAAAACATAGGCCTTGAACTTAGGCTTTAGACTGAAACCGCTGGTCTAAGGACTCAACAGTGCACATTAAATAAATACAAATAGAGTTCCACAAGTTGATGGTATAGAAATAAGACTACAATTACAGTAAACACGACCAAGCAGAGTTCAACCCAGTGAGCCTTCTTCAGATATCCAGACATTTCCTGCACAGACAACAGTTGCCTCCCACTACAGATGCAGTGGCCAGACAATTGTGGGTAAGAAAAGCCAAAACAAGTGCTGATTGATTAACATTTTATGCTGTGTGTCCAAATGGTGACATCATTAGGATCATGGATATTTTCCCATGATTTTCATGCTCAAACAAAAAAAGGTCCTGTGGTAAATTATATCTAATATTTCCAGTTCATTCCTTCATGGTGTGTATGTATATATCAGCCAAATATATGACAAAATCTGCCGTTTTCCTGCTCAACCTTCATGGTATCTAAAGGGAGAGGGAAAAACTACATTCCTCTTTTATGATGAAGAGCTTCTCAGATTATTTGCAGCAGAGGCTCAAAATGGAATTTATTAATGAGGCATAACCTGTCCATGATCTGATAGCATATGAAGCAACATGGAACAAAGGGTTTAGAAAGTAGCTGCATGGAAATTTTCTGTTGGATGGGAAGATGGAAACATTGAAGGAACAAACCTCAGTGACAGTGACAGGTTTGGATTTTGAGTCAAACTTTGGGAAATTATGAATCTCCGTTCAGCAAATATTCATAGCATAAACAAGCAGAAGAACACACAGGCAGAATTTCTTGAAATATCTGTGCATTTCCTTTTAGCTCACCTATGGCTCATTTGCCCAAGAGGAGAGTAATACAAGACAGTCCCCTACGTTTTTCCGCTTGGTCCCGAATGAAGTCCATCAATGCACAGGAATTATGAAATTACTTCAGTATTTTGGATGGACCTGGGTCGGGCTCTTTGCTGTGGATGACAACAGTGGAGACAGTTTCTTGAAAACCCTGGAGCCATTATTTTCCCAGCATGGAATCTGTTGGGCCTTTACAGAAAGAATCCCAAACCAAGTGAATTGGGATAACTTATATGACCTTAATACTGTGGCATCAAATATATTTTTGCCTTTCGGAGAGAGCAAAGCCAATGCATTTATCTTCTATGGAGAATCAAGGACGGAGAGAGCAAAGCCAATATATTTATCTTCTATGGGGAATCAAGGACAATGATATCTTTGAATTGCCTTATGTTTCTAGCAGATCATAGCTATACAGAAAATATGTCATTGAGAAAGGTGTGGATAATGATGGCCCAAATTGATTTTGCATTGACAGGCCTTCAGCGAGCTTGGGATTTCCAGTTCTTCCAAGGGGCACTTTCCTTCAGAATTCACTCAAATGAACTTTTAGGGTTCCACAACTTTCTGAAAAAAATTAAACCATATTGGAATATAAAAGATGGTTTTCTCAAGGACTTTTGGGGACAAGCATTTGGTTGTTCATTACTAGACCCCCAGGATGCAGAGATGGATGATGCATTATGCACTGGGGAGGAGCACATGGACAGCCTTCCAGGGCATATTTTTGAAATGGGCATGAGTGGCCACAGCTACAGCATCTACAATGCTGTTTATGCCACAGCACATGCTTTGCATGCCATGTACACCTCTATGTTGAAGTACAGAGCGATATTACGGAGCAAAAGACTTGAATTTCATGATTTGCATCCTTGGCAGGTAATGTCATGAAAGCATTGGCAAAAAATGAGGCAACATGAATTATTATTATTAGAAGAAGAGATTGGATTTATACCCCACCCTTAACTTGGAGTCTCAGAGTGCCTTACAAACTCCTTTCCCTTCCCTCTCCACAACAGACACCCTTTGAGGTAGGTGGGGCTGAGAGAGCTCTTTCAAGAACTGCCCTTTCAAGGACAGCTCAGAACTATGGCTTGCTCAAGGTCATCCAGCAGCTGCAAGTGGAGGAGTGGGGAATCAAACCTGGTTCTCCCAGATTAGAGTCCACACAGTTAACCACATAGTATACATAGGAATACAAAGTGCATACATGGGATTCAGTGACAGAATTTTGTGTGGTGCTGAAAAAAGATTAGCCATAGATTTTTACTCTTCTTCCACTAAAAATGATCATAAATATTTGTAATCTCAACATTAAACTACAATATTTTGTTCTCCCCCCCCTTTTCTACCAGCTGAATCCATTTATTCAAGGTGTTTCATTTAACAACTCAATAGGTGAACCTGTGTCTTTTATGGAAAACTGGGAAAAGGGGGATGGATTTGACATCATGAACTTGGTAACGTTCCCAAACAAGACTTTTGTCAGAGTGAAAGTTGGAAGTGTGAATTCCAATGCTGCCGAAGAACAAGTATTCATCCTTCATGAGGAGAGAATTGTGTGGCAGACAAATTTCAACCAGGTGCAGACTACGGGGTTTTGTCTGAGGCCACTCCATTCTGTGGGTCAAGAAAGCTGGGTTTCTTTTCAGGCTTTCCTCATAGGAAAGGTCATAGAATCATAGAGTTGGAAGGGACTCCCAGGGTCATCGAATCCAACCCCCTGCACAATGCAAGGAATTAACTACCCCCCACACACCCAGTAACCCCTTCTCTATGCCCCCAAAATGGCAAAACAACAACAACAAAAAACCTCTGGGATGTGTGGCCAAACTAGTCTGGAGAAAATTGCTTCCTGACCCCAAAGTGGTGATCAGAATTTCCCTGAGCGTGTAAGAAAGGGCCACAAGAACTAAGAATTGATGCAACCCTTCCTGCCCTCCCTTCTTGTGAGCTGCGTAAGTTCACAGAATCAGCATTGTTGTCAGATGGCCATCTAGACCTCCAAAGAAAGAGAGCCCACCACCTCTCAAAGAAGCCTGTTCCACTGATAAACTGCTCTGTCAGGAATTTCTTCCTAATGTTTAGCTGAAAACTCTTTTGATTTAATTTCAATCTACTTGTTCTAATCTAGTCCAACCAACTCTGCACCATCCTCTATGTGACAGCCCTTCAAGTACTTGAAGATTGTTATCATATCACCGCTCAGTTGTCTCCTCTCCAGGTTTAACATACCCAGCTCCTTCAACCTTTCCTCATAGGACTTGGTCTCCAGACTCCTCACAATCTTTGTTGCCCTCCTCTAGACACGTTCCAGCTTGTCTATATCTTTCTTAAATTGTGGTACCGAAAACTGACACAATACTCCAGAGCAGAGTAAAGAGATATAATCACTTCTCAAGATCTGGACACTATACTTCTGTTGATACAGCCCAAAATTGAATTTCCCTGTGTGTGCGCGCACGTGTGTGTGTGTGTGTGTGTGTGTGTACTTGGAAGTCATGGTGACCTCTGGTGACTCTGTGTGTACATGGAATTCATGGTGACCTCTGGAGACTGGCCCCTACTGGGGGGCTGGAGGATATTCAGAGAGGTGGCTGAATAAAGTCTGCCGCTCTATTCCTGACTGCTGGTATTTCAATGAAGTCTCCCATCCAAGTACTTGCCAGAGTTGACCCTGCTTAGTTTCCAAGATCTGACAAGATCAGGCTTGCTTGGGTTATCCAAGTCAGGGCACATTTTTAGCTACCGCATCACACTGCTGACTCATGTTCAGTGTATGGTAGAAGAAGGAGGAGGAGGAGATTGGATTTATACCCCGCCCTTCACTACCCAAGGGAGTCTCAGAGCAGTTTACAATCTCCTTTCCCTTCTCTTCACCACAACAGACACCCCATGAGATAGGTAGGGCTGATTATCCCAGGTTAGAGTCCGCACTCATAACCACAACACCAAACTGGCTCTCTAGAACCTAGACCCTTATCGCACATACAACTGTCAAGACAAATCTCCCCCATCCTATAATGATGCATTTGGTTTTTCCTACCTAAATGTAGAATTTATTTATCTCCATTGAAATTAATCTGTCAAAGTCATCCTGTATCCTGACTCTCTCTTCTACTGTATTTGCGACCCCTTCTCCGCTCCCTGCGTCTGACTGGCATTTATTCTGTGCCATACACAGTTACATGAAATGTTAAACCTTGCTGAGCTTAAGAACACTTACTATTATGTCATAGCACTATGTTGAGATTCACTGTTCTTACACTGTAACATCCCATCCCTACTTTTTAATGATCTTTTTAGACAAAATATGAAGGATTCTGGTGAGCAAGTTGGCAGGGCTGGGGCAAGAGTCCCAGATTCAGTCCCTGGCATCTCAATTTATCGGGCAGGAGGTGATGTAAAAGACCTAAATATATAAAACCCTGAAGAGCAACTACCAGTCTGAGTAGATACTACTGACTTCAAAGGTACAAGGGTCTAAGTCAGTTATGTAGCTTCATGTGTTTTTTAGTCTAGAGATGTAATTCCGGGACAATTCCCAGGCCCACCTGAAGGTTAGCAACCCTACAAGGTAGAGGTTGAAAAAATACTTTGAGCCACCAATGAGAAATACTACATGACTGTGAAAATTCAATGTTTGTTATTATTACCTTTTTTTTTTACTGCTCACATAAACAGTCGATAATGTCTAGTTTCTCCCACCATACTTGTTGTTTTTAAATAGGGGCGGCCCATTTCTGTGTGTAATGACTTCTGCCACCCTGGTACCCAAAAGAAAAAGAAAGAAGGGGAGAAATTTTGTTGCTATGATTGTGTCCTTTGCCCAGAAGGGAAGATTTCAAGCCAGCAAGGTAGGTGGTGTATGATGGAATTCTATGCAGACTCCCAGGAATCTAAGCCAGTAGAAACCAGGGGTCTTGGAATGGAATATAGAATCATAGAGTTGGAAGAGGCCATACAGACCATGTAGTCCAACTCCCTGCCCAATGCAGGACCAGCCTAAAGCATCTCTGACAAATATTCGTCCAGCCTCTTCATGAAAGCTGTCAGTGAAGGGGAGCTCACCACCTCCCTAGACAGCTGATTCCACCTTTGAACCACTCTGACCATGAAAAGGTTTTTCCTAATATCCAGCTGATACTTTTCCTAATATCCAGCATGATACCTTTCTAATATCCAGCTGATACCTATCCTCTGCTGCAAGCTGGAACAGCGCCTTGCCCTCCTCCAAATGACAGCCTTTCGAATATTTAAAGAATGTAACTGTAGAATGTGACTAGAAATGCAGCAGTATCAAAGTGGTCACTTCCACTGTCATGGGGAACACAGTGAGATTTCCCTCCTACAACGCCATCCCAAGAGCCTTCAAGATCCCAGACAATCTTCCAAATGTACCTACCTGGTTGATGCTGCCCCTGTGATGGACATAAGTGATAGGTGGGCAGGATAGAGGAGGGCACAGCAATTCAAATAAATATAAACATGCATTTGACTTCCTGAAAAGCTTTAAGGATTTAATATTGAAAATCTGAAGGAACCTTTATAAACCTTTGACACACAGATATGTATGCATGTGCCTTCAAGTCACAACTAACTTCTGGCAATGATCCTGGCAATGGACTTGCAAGGCAGATGAGCAGCAGAGTTACTTTGCCATTTCTTTCTTCTGTGGAGTCTTCCTCAGTCATCTACCATTGATATACCAACCCTGCTTAGCATCCAAGATCTGATGAAATTGGGCGCGCCTGCATCCCACATCCCTTAACACAAAGAACAAGGAGTTTAAATGACATTGGGGGGCGGGGATGTCAGTCTAACCCTAAAATAAAGGTCAACTTGAAAAAATCTTGTCATGTAAACTGTAACATAAATGAATAGGAGAAATGGAACCCATTAGAAATGGAACCCAAAAGGGGATGCTGGCAAATACATTACATGATTTGCTAGAGTGATAGAATGCAGATGTAAAGGTCTCCAGCTCAATCACAAGCTTTGATGGAAGGGTCTGGATCGAGGTGGCCAAACTTGCTTTACTTTACAGCCATATAGAATAAACGTCAGATGTCTGAGAGCCACAGGACATGAACAAATAT